GTGTCATTGTCTAAGCTGACTCATTTCACACTATTAATCGATCCTTATCTATCGCCTACGACGGATAACTATCTCACTCTCGACATAGACCGAATTCCATTGGTCACAATTTCTTGCCAGAACTCCAAGAGTTATATCTTGAAGCTCATCACCAGTTAGATGATTATTAGTACAGTGAAATTTCTTGAAACTGTAAAATCTTTAATTCACCGCAATTAGTTTAATAGAAACATTCATTATTATAACCAACTGTACCAGTGATTGTTTAACTGAACCTCTTTGTTTATAACACTCGTTACGCGCAACTTTCTGTTTGTATTGCTGCCATTCTTTGCTTTACCAGCTCTGTAATTTCATTCATCTTTTATGGTTTGATTTCGGTGTACTTTCGACACCACGAAATCGCCAGTAAATAAATTCCTTAATCTGGATTTATTTATCAACTCAGTGACGGGTTCGTTACTAGTGTGGTGCGCGCTACTTATAAGTAGTATATGAGGCGAGTGAAAACGTAAAGTCTGGCAGCAGAAGATGGGGGAAGATCAAGAAAGGAAGAGTGGGGAACACAATGGAATTTTTTATGAAATAGAATGAATAGTGAGTGAAATGTCAGACAATGGATTGATGATGGATTGAAGATTTGCAAATTAACGGTTTACGCGATATGGTTTTCCTATTTTACTGAATAACTCTGTAATTTTCGATAAATACAATTCGGTTGCCCTCACCTGTGTTCTCCTTCACTACACTAGTAGTTAGTAATAATCATAGTCAATCTCAACTCGATCACCACTAAAAATGTTATTTACAAAATTAAAAATTATCATCATCCCAAATGACGAAACATAGAACTGATATATTAGAAAGCATAGAACAATTATTTTCAACTTTTATTGATTTTTTTCAATGTATTTATCTTTTCAATACGCACATTTTTGCGGTAACATATCTTGAACACATAAGAAATAAACAGAGCGTTTAAAAGTTCCGCAAACATTTGTTTTTTGTTTAAATTTTCGTTCAATTTTCAAATTGAAAACAAAACAAAACAAATCAAGTTGAATAATGAATTAATTGTTTTTTAAATAAGTTTGAGAATTGAACACACATAGACACATAGACATACACAGACACACACAAACAGACATACAATAACGACCAATAATCAAGAAAGCATTACATTCATAGAAATGCACTTTTCACATGAACATTGAACATAGTAAATAAAAACAGTTTATGAAATTAACGTAAGAAGAAGCGTTTGTTTTTTATTCATTGAAATGAGTTAACAATGAGAGAAGTTCATTTGTAATTAATTATGATGAATACTGATTGAGTGAGTGATGTATATATATTACAGTTGGGTTCTGATCACTTTGTCTGTCTCTTTGTATAAGTATTGATTGATTTTGTTAATAATAGGTACTCCATCGTATAAAAAGTAGACGTGTACACATGTAGTGACACTTGTGTTGGTGTGTGTGTTTGTATGAATGAATGAATGAAAATGTCAACCTGAAAAAATAGAGACAGAAAATAAGAAAAAGACGAGAATCATAATTTGACCAGTGATATATTCATTTCGGGATAATTTCGACAGAAAATTTTTCCAGCACGTTTCTTGTAAGTTCTATTTTTGTTATGCTTGTCAATTAATATGCTTGAAACTGCTATTACGAGTTCACCTTAGTCAGTAAACGAAAGCGAAGACAAATGATCCAGTGACAAAAATAGGCTACTCGAATCCGAGTGTACCAATACCCCACTAAGTAGAGGAAGATGTCTTGACAAGACGTAGAAAGTGTATTCTACAAGCACTCAGAAAATATGAGGTTGACAAGCACATAAATCGAGTTTATTTATACAATGATAGAATCTGCATTACGGGGTTGTGAAGCATGATAAGTTACACATTTTTTGAAACCATGAATCGATCAATGTTAGACCACCATTAGAAACCTGGAAGCACTGGACGGTCGTTTCGTCCTGATATGGGACTCCTGAGCATTGCGCATCCACAACTCCTTCACCTCGCAGGATTCGAACCCAGGACCTTCGGCCTTGTGCGCTAACGCTCTAACCATCGGACCACTGAGCCGGTATCTAACGGTGTTAATGTCTAACTTGATTAAATTCACGCAGTCGCGCAACCTCATACACAGTCTTCGGTAGTAGTTACTGTCTACACCCGAAAACAGGTTGAACTTCACTGGTCACGTCTTCCCACCACTAGAACTCGGAGAAGATTCCTCACCAAGCTAATCACTAGTGAGCACAGGTAATTTGTATTACAGGGGGTTGTGAAGATTGTTAAGTTACACATTTTTGAAACCATGCTGAGGAGTCCCATACTAGGACGAAACGGCCTTCCAGTGCTTCCAGGTTTTTAATGGTGGTCTAAGATTGATCGATTCATGGTTTCAAAAATGATAGAATCGTCCTTGGGAGAGCCACAAAATTAGCGTACTAAAATACTACATCAGGCAATAACAGTCAAGGATTTCCGGGAGGGAAATGTTATCTCAAGGTCAATTGATTAGTCCATTCTCGAAAACATAAAATCCAAAGTTAGGACTTTTTTCAAGTGAGTTCTGTGGATCTAACGTCCCTAACAGCTTTATGTCTGAATTCACGAACAGATAGCTTTTTTCTTATCAGAACTTTGTACTTATCGGGTAGGAGTTACGTAATGTCATAACTATGTAGTATATATAAGGGTTAATAATTTATATTACGCAATTAGAAGAGAAATGATTATAATAGTTAAAGTAATTAGTTGTAAAATGCAGCCAGAAAGTTTTTATGTTACATTATCGATTTTTTTGAACAATTATTTTGATAATTACAATTATTTCCCTTCCGGTTGCGCAATATGGATTATGCTTTTTCATGGCATTGCCTAATTGTTACGACACGTAACGACTCAATGAGTACTAATCCACTGTGATAAATCAAAAGCACACTGCAAAGGTTTATCGAATCTCAAGGTCATCTATGGTCTTGTAAATACCTGTACTTTTGTTTACAAAGCTTAGTATTGATAATAATAAAATATATCAACACACTACGAAAAGCACCTAACTGCATCACGAGACAAGCCCTCACATGGAACCCTCAAGGCAAAAAGAAAAGAGGAAGGCCAAGGAACAAATTACGCCGAGAAATAGAGAAAGATATGAGAAGAATGAACAGTTATTGGACAGAACTGGAGAGGGGTGCCCAGGACAGAGTTGGTTGGAGGAAACTGATGGGCGGCCTATGCTCCTCTATTGGGGGTAACAGGCGTAAGTAAGTAAGTAATATCAACTTCCATATTGAACTTCTATATTCAATGAAATATTGAACAGTGTTAATTCAGAATGTATAATTCAACAAGTTTTCATAATTTAGTCATAGAATTCAGTTCTGTTTCTTTTTTGAAGATGGCTTTTATCAATCAATAACGTTAGTTAGTTTCAGTCAGTCAGTTAGACAACAACAACGTGGAACTTTGTATTTAAGTACATCATTTCAAGTTACCATACCACATTAGCACAAAGATGCAATTGTTAATTCGAATCCCATAGTAGTAAAAGTAATGGGAAATGTAAGGGTTCGACGATATTATTCAAGAAGTAGAATCTAGTGAAATAAACTTGAAAAAGGAATTCAAAAGGTTACGATTTGAGAGAGCACAAAGAGTTAATGCACCTGTACCATTGCTAACAGTTTGGAACCATGTCATTCAGGGTCTCTAACCATCGATTACTATCATCTTGCGGGTCCCAACCAGATAGTCCACACCTACAGACATGACTCAATCCAGTAGTCAGTGACTTGATGGATTTGTGCCATGTTTTGGTCTGGCCGCCCCTAGCTTTCTTCCAACATATTCCTACATCTCAAAGCATAGCTCGACGAGGTGGGAGCTACCCACTGATGGGATTTTGAGATAATGATTTATTGATGATTTCAATATGTAAGTAAGTAGGATGAAGGTTCTTAATTAGGATTTTGTGGTTTCGTGGATGGGCTGATCAGTTGACCTTGAGATTACATTTCTCACCAGGAAAATCCTTGACTGTTATTAGTTGATGTATTATTTTAGTATGTTATTTTTGTGGCTCTCACCAAGGACGTTGCTATCATTGTATAAATAAACTCGATTTGTGTGCATATCAACCTCGTATTTTCTGGGTGCTTGTAGAACACACTTTTTACGTCATGTCAAGACTTCTTCCTCTAATTTATGGTGCCTTTGTACACTCAGATTAGAGTAGCCTATTGTGTCACTGAATCATTTGTCTTCGCTCCTGTTTATCGACTAATAGTTTCCAGCATATCAATTGAAGAGCATAACAGATCGAGTCTCAATGTCTACATCAACCATAGGATACAGGCATTTATAGCTGACGTGTCCCAAATAAAACCAAAATATTATTTTGGTTTTCACTATTGGCCTGTAAAGACCATGAATAACTGTCATTAGCTTACAGTACAACATTAATGGAAGGAATTTAAGGAAGGACACCTTTCAAATTAATACATTTTATGCACATTGGCATCATCAGTCAGTCATTGTTAGACCACTATTAGAAACCTGGAAGCACTGGATAGCTGTTTCTTCCTGGTATGGGACGTGATCACGTGACCGTTGGAGTTCAACCTTGTCGGCTGTAGGCAGTAACTACCAAAGACAAAGCGGTGAGGTCGCGCAGAAATCTCTAGAATGACCAGAGTTAGACATGAACACCGTTGGATGTGTTCACGCGCAAGACTAAGGGTCCTAGGTTCGAATCCTGCGGGGTGCAGGAGTCATGGATGCGCACAACTGATCAGTCCCATACACTAGGACGAAACGGCCATCCAGTGCTACCAGGTTTCTAATTGGGGCCTAACAATTTATTCCCCCCTCCCTATTTTAATTCACCTAATTCATGAGAAGACAAGCAAATCAATTATAAATAATGATTGTCCACTCACTCACCATCAGATCATTGCACATCATCTTAATACTTCCATTATTGTTTCATATTGAATGTATCTAGATTACGTAATTTACGTAAATCATTTGAATTGCCCGGTTGAATTGGTGTAGACCATTTTTCAGTTTCTGGCATTTTTTTTACAATCATACTACTATCATCAGTTGACTGAGTAGTAGTAGTAGTAGTAGTTTGATCACGTTTCTTTTTCAATGGATTACTATAATAAATTAAATTTAACAGATATGGATTTAAATATTCCATGCTATCTGGCAAGTCTTCATCTGTACGCGATGAACTAGTGGAAGTGGATTCTTGTAAGCGATCTGTGTCTTCATCTGAATCAATCGGTAAATCCCATGTTGTACTTGGAAATACTTTAGTTGAATAATAAGATGGTTGTTGATTGAAATTGAATAAAGACAAAATGTCATCATCATCATCGTCATCATCTAGATCATCGTTTACAGTATTGTCTGAGCCGACACGAACAATGTGACCTTGATGTTCTGATTGGTGTTTTCTTACATCAGGATTTAGTTCCCATTGATTGTTCCATGTATGTCCTGAAAGAAGAATTTGTTTTGAAAAATTTTTTTTTACATCGACAAAGGCTAATAGTATATAAATGAAACTGGGTGTTTTGTAGGAGTGCCTTACTATAATGATTCGGGTGTCCCGACTCTGAGGAACATGAAGTGGGGAAGGTGAGCAAGCTAACTCTATTTTGCCTCGCTCCGCTTGGACTCAGTTTATTCTTATGACTGTTTGTTTAAATGAATGTATGAACGATTGTTTGAAATAAACTCATCCAAGCAAATCTATATTTGGCTTTTAATTAATGTCATCGCACAAACACAATACAGTCAGTCAGTCAGTCAGATACAACGTAGAACTTCGTACGTAAATACATCAGTTCATGTTGCCATACCACATTAGCACAGAGACATAATTGTCAATTCAAATCCAATTGTAGTAGAGGTAGTAAAGGGTGTTTGAAGTAATCGGAGAGGTTAGGATTAGAAGATAATATTCAAGAAGTATGATTAATTGAGAAAAGTTTAGAAAGTCAAAACTAGAGGGGTTGGAGAATCCAGAAGATTAGGATTTGTGAGGACACTGAGAATAAATGACCGGCGCCATTGCAAACGGTTTTGAGCCATATCATTCAAGAGTCTCTAACCATCGATTATTATCATCTCGCGGACCCCAACCAGGTAGTCGACAATTACCGACATGACTCACTCCAACTTGTCAGTGACTTTGTGGATTTCTGCCATGTTTTGTTCTGCGGGCCCCTAACTTTATTCCAGCCTAGTCTCTACATAGCTCGTCAAGGTTATGGAGATTGATATGAATATCTGTTCAACAATGTATTTGATGACGCAAAATTCATAATTTGTAATGGAGTGAAATGACGAATGAGCATTCTTGAATGTATTGATCACAAGAACTGACGCAGGAAAACTAGAGACCTAAGTTTATCAAAAGTCAACTCATCTCAACTACATTAGTAGCAAGCCAAGAATTCACAAAATCACCTGTGTACAAACTTTCATTCAAGAGAGTGAAAACACTTTGCAGTACACAGAAAACTAAGAAAAATATCTGGTGACCATCTTCGGCCTATCTTACACAACATCAAGGAATACAAAACTTAAACCATCATTGGAAGCGGAATAGGTACAGGAGCCTACAAACGGATCATTCTACCGTATACAGAAGACGTATTGGCACTTACAGTACGACTACTGAGACCATTTGGAAAAGGTGTGGCACACAAATCAACAGAATCAACTTCAATCAATCTTATGTAGACACCAAAGGATAAAATGACAAATAGGAAGAAAAACCAAAATATCCCATCTACAAAATAAATTGCTCAAACTGTGAAAAACACTACATAGGATAAAGTGGATGGCCTCT